TATCTCATTATGTCCATCAAGATGTAATCTCACAGAGGGCAGGCATCATACTTTTGTTGTCCATGGGAGCATTCTCAGTCCTTAGTAGAAGTCTGGGTTCAGACTCAATATTTAATAAAGAATGTTGACTAAGGCAGTGATTGCCCACTTTTTTCGTATTCAATGAGAGTTTATTGGTTAATTTTTGGTGTGATGTTTTCTTGGATCCAGACTGGGACAGAGGGAAGATGCATGCATCCACAAGTGTGATAATCAACCCAGTATGTGAAGTGTTGGTCCCAATCAGCCTTCCTAGGTTCCTGAGACTCCTGACCCTTCTTCATCCTCAGGACACAGAAGAGCACCATGAGGCCTGAGAACTGGAGCACCATGTCTGAATTCCTCCTCCTGGGGCTCCCCGTCCGGCTGGAGCAGCAGGGCATGTTCCTTGCCCTGTTCCTGGGCATGTACCTGACCACGGTGCTGGGGAACCTGCTCATCATCCTGCTCGTCAGGCTGGACCCTCGTCTCCACACCCCCATGTACTTCTTCCTCAGCCACTTGGCCTTCTCTGATGTCTCTTTCTCATCTGTCACCGTCCCAAAGATGTTGATGGACATGCAGGCTAGTGACAAATCCATCCCCTATGAGAGGTGCATTTCACAGATGTATTTTTTTCCTACTTTTTGTTTGTCTCAATAATTTCCTTCTTGCAGTGATGGCATATGACAGGTTTGTGGCCATCTGTCATCCCCTCTACTATACCACCAACATGAGGGAGGAGCTGTGTTTCTTATTGGTGGTTGGGTCCTGGTTCCTCTCTAGTGTCCATGCCCTGTTGCATACCCTTCTCCTGTTCCACTTGTCCTTCTGTACTGACAACAATATCCCAAACTTCTTCTGTGACCTCCCAGCCCTCCTGAAGCTTACCTGTTCAGACACTTGCCTCAATGAACTCGTTGTCTTAATTGAGGGGGGGCTGATTGTCCTTTTGTCACTGAGTGCTATTTTTGGCTCTTATGTTAGCATTGGGGCCACCATCCTGAAGGTTCCTTCCACCAAGAGGATCTGCAAAGCCTTGTCCACCTGTGGTTCCCATCTCTTTGTGGTGTTTCGGTACTATGGGACTTTGCAATTATTTACTTCTTTCCTGCATCAAACAATTCCAAAGTCAAGGACATAATTGCTTCAGTTATGTACACGGTGGTGATCCCCATGCTGAACCCATTCATCTACTGCCCGAGAAACAGAGACATGAAATTGGCTCTGAGAATACTTTACAGAAGGAGGATTTTTTTATGTTTTTTATTTTTTTGCCAAATGACAGTTACTGATTCTTGATTTTTCTTTTCCTTGTGTTGTTTCCAGTGATGCCTCCTTGACATATTGTCTTTGTGACTGTGGTAGATTGTATCCTCTCCTTTCAAGTATGTAGTCTACTTCCCCAGCCCTTGAATCTAGGTGGGTCTTATGATTTGCTTTGGGTAATATCTTAGTTATAGTAGTGATATTGTTCCAATGCCAAGCAGACTCTGTTCTTGCTACTTTTGGAACCTTGAGACTACCATGTGAATAAGCCTATGATAATTGCAGGAAGATAAGAGATCTCTTGGAAGAGAGGATCAAGATGCTCCAGCTGAAAATATACATGTATCTGCTTATTTTGGAAACAAACAAACAAAAACCCAAAACAGGACAAATAAATTGTAAACTAATGAGATTGATTACTTAAATGTGTGAGCGAAAATGGGATGGAAAGATGGGGAGATGGGTATACCTCTTTGTATATAGTTGTGATCATGTTATCTTTTAAATAAACGAATAAATAAGGATGGGCAATGAAGCAAAGCCGAATAAAGCAAAACAAATGAACCTAATTATATTTCAAGTGAATAACATCATTAGACTGAAGGGTGATGAAGAAAAGTAACTGAGTAATTCTGAAGCACAGTTTTTGTCTATATACCATTGAAATAAAGAGAGAGAGAGAGAAAAAAAAAAAACTATAACAAATATTGAACTGCAATGAACAGGTTTTTCATCCACAGTGGTTGGGGCTCAAGTTTCTGAAATTATTCAACATGTATACTAGGATTCAGCAAAGAAGTAAAAATATTGTGGGAAAAGGGAGCCGCTCTTCACTATCAGAGCAAGTTATAACGTGTAGAATAAGGGAGTGTGGAAAGAATTCTTCGTGGCAAACTGAAATTGGAGAGAATAGTTTGAACTCCTAGTTTTTCATATCAATACATAGATTAAGATTTATATGTTATGTCAATGACT